ATTCTACTCTGGGATGTTTGAGTGGGAGGATACGATGAGCAGCGGCAATTGCATTTTTAGCATACATCTGTGATGAATTTCCGCACACCCAGAAATTACCAATAACCCAACTCATTAACGTACCGGTTGTTCCGCTTGTGTAGCAAATGAGAGCAAGATCATCCGGTTCTGAGGGCTGAAGGGAAGGATAGAATGCTTGGTTTGACGGGTAAAAAAAGCTTCAATTATAGTCCAGTTTAACGCTGGAGAGGATCAATCAATCACCACTCCTTATAACCCACAATACGTAAGCACGGAGGCAGACCTGGTGTGGGTTGGTAGACGAAACCGTCATGCATCGAAACATCGAACATGCAGGTTTAGTGAAGCACATGCCTCCAAAAGCAAGGGAGATGCACAAGCACGACAAAGATAGTAGATAGCGTCAGTTTACATATAGTAATTAAACTGCTGCAATTGCCTTTAACAAAACATGTGAATGCAAACGCACACAATCACCCGAAATTTGCAAAATTACAAACATTCCACGCGGTAATGAGGCAGAAAATGGAAAGAGACATGGTGAATTACACAGGCGGGAATTCCTATCATTCACGCCATTAGTGTGTGCAAACTTAGAAAACACAGAAGTAGGAAAGAGTAAAATTTCATTTCACTAATGGAATTTCCTTAGTAAAATAACAGTGCTGTAAATAGGAAGTCACTAGAGAAGTATGCGAATCTCCCTACTAACGATGGAGATGGCATCATCGAGATCGAGGCCATGATTTGGTGTCCAGTTTCCACCTGGGTGTGGATTCGGAGGAGATAGAAACGGTGTTAATGTAGACAAAGACAGACTTTCCAAACTCAGTTTACAACGGAAAGCTGAGATGATTGAATATGACAAGCATGTGAAGCTTCAATTGGCTCAATCACGCACTTAAGATGGGATTCATAAAAATTTACGGGCCAAGAGAGACAATACTTAAGCAGAGCGGGAACAGGCTAGCATTTCCAAAGTCAATGGTTGGCCTAAAAAATCGAAAGCATCTTTGAAGATGAGTTCTCAATTAGCCAAGTAGCCACAATTTGAGTTAAAATCCTCAAAACATGTGAAGCTATTCAACACTAAGATATGGAAAAAAACTGCCGCAAAAGCAAATGCAAAGCCTACCGGAGCACTATGAGGAGAAAAATCGAAAGCTTTCAAAACAAAGTGAGAGTTTTGAATCTAGTTACGTGACTTTTGCGCAACTAATACCACGTACAGTAATGACAGACATTTTGACCCCAACAGGTCGATAGAAGGTTTCTCTTCTGCTCAGTTACGTGTTTATGAGAAGCATAATAAAAGAGAAATGAATGTAGAAGGGATAAACTCAGAAAGCCTGGCAGTTTCAAAGTGTACTTTTTTGACGGAGAAAAGCCTTACGATTGTGAAACATTGACAAGTCAGTTTGGAAAGTGGCTGATATTCTCAAAGCGCCTACATGTGTCCAGGTAGAACCATATCGAAACACTGAAACTCCAAATAAGGCGGGTCAACTATTCCCGCATACATGCATGTTCTACAAAGATAAAACGGTGAGGGCAGATTGATTCCGACTGGCTTTCTAGGCGCTGAGTCAACGCATGGCAGGAGCTAAGCAACTTCAGTTAATTCGACAAATTAATCTCAGTACTTGGCTGAAAGGGAAAATTCAGACAAATAAGGTGGAAAAGTTTGTGCCCAAGTCTCGTAGTAAGGACTGACAAGAAGGTGTAAAGCATAGATTTCTTAACAGAGTTAGAACAGCCCAATGGAAGGCATCTGTGTAGTGTAACATCTTCCAAGGACAATGACCAATTAATCTCCACGGGCAACTTAACGCTGACAGAAAGATTAATGCAACACAGAAGTGTGGAGAGGCCAAAATCCTCTTAAATACAATCCCATCCCCTAATGATGGAAGAGAAGTACATGAAAACTAGCTTTTGACCTCAATGGGCCGTGTGCCAGACGCCACGCAACTGTCGTGAAGTTACTCAATGTAGTCGAAGGAAAGTTATTAAAGGAGCCTAGTTAATAGGGTAATGCATATACCAGCCGAGAAAGAACGTAGGAAATGTAGAAATGAGCTTCAAAAGGAAGAAGTGAAATTAGTCCGACACTGCAGCTCTGACTAAAAGTAAACAAGACACTACCAAGAAAGGGATGAACGGCCATAAGGAGCTTACTGTAACCACAAAAAAGTTGAGGTCTGAAAGAGATTGGGTTAACCCCACATGCAAGAACACCCTTGATACACCAAAATCGGCTTATCCAGCAGTCCCATTGGGTGCGTCTGCCCAAACTAGACGCACGCAACCGTGCTGTCGTGCGTGGTGTCATGCACTGCGGCCTTGAGGCTAAACAACCAACCAGGACACAGACAATGAAAGGGGATAGTAAGGTGATGGTGGGAACCTTAAAAATACCGAAATGAGGGACACGAAAAATGGGAAAGGAGACCGTGCAAAACGAGACTCTGAATAACGATGCAACGCGAAAGTCATTAATTTACCATTGTCTCCAGAGGGGAAGCCTCACCACGAGCCTGAAATGTTGAAAGAGTAAAAGGTGGCAAAAAAGAGGTCCGAAAAGAATCAACACTATAGACTTTGGTACGCTTACCAGAATGTCTGTAAATGTGAAGACTTGAATAGCATCTCCAGCTCTTGCCTTGAGTGCAGTGAGATCGTCGCCAGAGTTCATTATGACAAGGTGTTTTACAAATGGAATGGTATCGGCCAAGTTCAATAACTTTAGGGCCTGGACTGCTGTGTCACATACCACCACCGAGAGCTCAGCTAAAAAAAAACAAAAATCACCAGAATAATGCAAATCTGTTTTCGTCACGCATTATAGAACAGCCGATACAAGTTTCATGAGATTGAGGCGTTGATAATAGCATTGCTGAAATGCTGAAACTTAGAGAAAGAGAGCAGCCTAGTATACCAAATAAGAGTCTGTTGCATACCAAAGACAAAAATGAACCTACTCTGTTTACAGATGTAAAGCAAAGCCTCCTCTCCAAGAGTATCGAACAGCGGGACTGTAGTAAGCTTGTACGAAAAGCAGGCATACTGGGAGATGACCCACTGAAATAGAAAACGGGAGGGTTGAGA